ATCTTTGCAGTTGGACATTCTCTGAAGCCATAGCAGCTATGTTTCAAGGCAGTAGGTCAATGAAACAGAAGAAAAAAAAGCATAACAGGAAGCACTCCAGGAAAATGATTCTAGCAACACATGGTATCTTGCTGAATCATCAGAAATTGTGCTGCAGAACTGATATCCTGATGAATAGCATGCCTTCCTGTTTTTCTGGTGGCTGAGATAGTAGTCCAGAGAGTCATGGGTAGAGAAAGAGATTCCCCTCTCTGACTGTTACTGTGAAGACAACACACTGACATTTAATTCATTAGACTAGGAGATCAAGGGCGAGCAGCAGGCAAGTCATTAATTTAATCTCATTTGTGCCTTTCCAAGTTTCCTTAAGCAGTTGTAAATATAGGTGAGGAGGCGGGATTAGCAAACAAAGTTGATTTAAGGATTTCAAAGTGACGAAATAAGGCCAACCTTTGAAAAAAAAAAGTATTCCGCTTTTGATTCCGTTCTTTCATTTCTTCATACCACTCATACCTCTAAAGCAATACATATTTTTAATGTTACAGATGTAGAATATTCTTGCAAAAATAAGACTTGATATTTGTTACATGATTTCCCTGGTAATTTGGTTTAAAAAACATACAGTGGAATTCATTTTTAAGTAGAGCTGAGACTGATGGGAATGTCTTTAGTTGTGCAGGTTTTTGGTCATTATTGGGCAAATTAGAGTTTACATGAAAAGTTAGGAGATCACCAAAGTTGTTCAATCCTCTGGGAAACTTGGACATCTGTCCCACATTTCATTGCAATCCATCTAGCACTAGTTAACTGACATGACAATGTTTTTTATATATATATATATCTTTGGTTGCAGGATTGATCTACAGACCATATTGGAAAAAATGGTCAGCAAAAGGTGATGGAAGCTTCTATCCAACAAGCAACCAAATAAATGTGGTGCAGGGATAAGTTTTTATGTGTAGTCTGCGGGCTTTCAAGCGTAGTTCTTCAACCCTGAAGCAAAATTGGATGTTGTGTTTGTGGAGTGAAGATGACAATGGTGAAGGGGCAGTAGACGAAGGCGCCCAACAAGAGAGTACCAAGGCTGTTGATGAGGGCTGTCACCAGTCAAATATCTTTGAGGACATGAGAAAGACCGGCAGTTGTCTCTTGATACTCAAGGTAGGGAAGTCAAATTCTTAGGACTGTCCTCATTCAACTTGTAGAATTCTAGAAATGTATACGCGGAAACTATTTTAAAAATGATTGCTCCCTTATTCTCCTGTCTGATTTATTGTGTTTATTCTGTTTGTTTTTTTTATGTGTTGGCAGGTATCATCCTGTGTTATTGTCTGTGTATCATCTTTACTTTTATTTGTTTAATTATTTTGCCTTGATTTGTTAATTCTTGGTTAGGATTTTTCCACGATTCTTCATTTCTTCGTCTTAATGTACTGAAACACCTTTTTACATGTTTTGAAAGGTGCAATAAAAAGTTATTATTCGTAGTAGCACTAATATTAATCATAGCATTTTAAGGTATTACATTTTTAAGAAGCATTACAGCAGAGCAATATTTTATTTTATGTCTT